ATTCTAATTGTTTTACTAACAATTAGATGCAGCCCACTTTGAACTGGGAGAGCTGTAAGCATACCCATTTTCAGTATCTTTAGACTCCGTATAGAGAAGTACAAAATTATTTCTGTTTAGAGCCAATATACTCCCGAATATATTAGGACAGAGATTTTTGGTGTTCTAACAGCTTTCCTATGATCTAGCAAGAAGCATGTCTCTTGACTGATAACAAAGAAGCTTGTTGCTGGCTGTTTACATAACCGTCTCCTCAATCTTTATTGGTCTGGAGTAATTTTCATTTTATGTATTTATTTATATATCCCACTTGTATGCTGCCAAGCAGTAAAGGTTCACAATAGTCTACAGCTATACGATTAAAGCCTCCATGGGCAAAGGATTAATTCATTATTAATTAATGCCATTATTAATTACTATTACTATTTAATCAATATTAAGATGATTAATAAATGCAATTAATTTTAGTTGAATAAAAATTAATTATAATTTTGATCATTATTTTAATTGTTAACAAATTAATAATTACATATAACAATAACTACCAGTAGATAAAGTTATACAACCAAGCTACAAAAAGCAACAAAACAATAAATCTGAAAATTAAAAAATAGGATAAGATGATCACAGTTAGTTAATTTAACCCTTTGTAAGATTGTGCCAAATTGCTGCATTTCAGTTTTATATTTTTGAAGAAAAAGAAAGGAAGATGTCAAAGGAGGACTGTAGTGTGAAAATGCCTGTTGCTGACATTCAATAAAGTAGCAAATGTAGCATTTTATCTTGCATTGTTTAAAATGCAATGGTTTATTTTCATTGATGCAGATGTCAATATATTCTATTTCCCTGTAGTGAACCAGTATCAGCCTTAAAAAAGGCAATGGGGCTTAACCTTCCTATTGTACTGCTGCCAAAGTTGCTTCAGCCCCTTTCATAATCCCCACAACAGGCTTAATTACTCAGAGTTCAGAGAAATTTTGAGTATGCTGAAATTCTGAAAACCTCTGCCAAGCTCGGTCAGATATTAATCAGAATCCCAGTCTGGAAAGAATGTGAACTGTGAGCTGGCAATCAAATCAGTTTAGCTATGAACTCTGTAGGTGAGAGGTTGTGTCCCATGGAAAACTGGGGTTTAGCATCATCTTCCTTAGAAGGTGTTTGCGAAAATTACTGAAATTACTCTTATACAACTGCTAAATGAATGCCTTCCAAAATTCACAGATGTGCTTCCTATTTTGATTAAAGTCTTTCTAGTTCCCAGTCCACAGACGTATGCATCAGGTGCAGTGAAATACATGTTTACACCAAAATACAACTTCCAGCTTTCACTCCTTGGCACCCAGGGTGAACCCATTAAGGAGACCCCTCGCCGGATGTGAAATTGAGCACACCCATACTTGCACAAAGATGTTTAAAGCTGCATAGTAGTTAAAGAGATACTGTCCCTGTTTTTCTGGAAGCAGAAGATGACTTTGTTTGTGGAAGAGAACTAAAATGCAAACATAAATGCTCAGGGCTCCATCTGTTGCAGCATTTGCTCAGGAAGTACAATCACTCAGAGCAATACCCTCAAGCACGGGTTTCAGATGCTACAATCATACAATCATACGGCAAAAGAGCTGTAGAGGTAAGGCTGCCCCCAAATCTTTCTGATACATGAGACAGAAGACAACATCTACACACACACACACACACACATACACACACACACACACCAGGCTCAAAGGCTTCACTGGACATGCTTGGAGGGATCGCCATTCTGAGCTAACCTCTTGTACAAGGTTGTTGTGAGATAAAAACAAGAAACACTTCATGTCCTGGAGGAAAAGCTAATATAAATGTAATGAACCAATACAAGTATATTTTTAAAAAAGCTACTAGTATAACACCATAATTTTGATACACCAACTAACATGTAAAATAGCCAGCACTGGGTCTTTTGACGCCTTTGGTGCATTTCTTGTATGTGAAATAATAACACATTTTACTTTATTGACCAATGAGATGTAGAATTCTTGCATTCC